GGTCTTTTATTAAAAAATATAGAGATAATGACAAGAATAGTTTTTTCAAATCGGATACATAATGACAAGAATAAAATTAAAATTGGTTACATAGTGCCGGTATAAGAATAGAATTAAAAAATGGTTACATAATGAATGTATGATATGAGTAATAATAAAAACTGATAGAATGACGTTACAGACTGTCTAACCAGTAAAGACAATTTACACATGACATATACCCTCGAGTTAGTATGTAGTCGACCCGAATTTAAACCATTTCGCAGACCTTGTTTTTCTCATTTTTTGAAACAAGCTTCACACATACATCAGTTACATATGTACACATACATAGTACCTCGCCAACTCCTATCCCTTGACCGGCAGCGGATATCTCATCTAGAATGTTTCTGAGCATTACAGTGGGTGGATTGGCTCTGTTAACGCACATGTCGATCAATACACCCCATGTATCTGTAGTTCTTCTCATAACGTCCATTTGTTTCTTGAGATTTTTTATACGTCTCGTTTGCCCCTCGTAATCTTTCTCAGGATCACACATGTGATCGATAGCCGTAAATATCTTTTCGATCATCTGCTCTTTATAACGGGGGATAAACACGAGGTCTCTGAAAAAATTCTTCACGCTACACACGGACCCCATGTTGTAGCGATCACAGTCCGGGGGCAGACACGCTGCTTTGCCAGAGATCGACGGCGTCGTAAACAACTTTCTTGTAGGATTCTTCCAGCAGCTTTTCCCTGATCTCTTGCAGTTTTGCGACGATGAATGGTTCGTCTCTTAATTCGTGCAGGATAGCGCCGGTAGTTCCTTGAATCCTCAGATTGTTGTTGGTCATTAAACCGCAGCGGCGTAGAGTGAAGTCAATAATGGTCTGAAGATCGGGCTTGAACAGTTTGCGGGTCAGCTCATCGAAGCGTGAGTCGAAATAGTTTGCGTCAGGCTCAAACAGACAGGAATGTTGCAGCTGGCTCGGGTGGTCCGTTGCACAACCCTCGCACTCCTCCCTCAGTTTGTTGTCTATGATGTGTTGCAGCAGCAGCACGATCGTGGCTTTTATGATTTTGAACCAGATACCGCTGAAACACCCATCTGTGGTGTCGAACCCTCTGTGGGAGGAGGTAGTGCACAGGTCCTTTAGGTAGCTCAGGTTGCGATATCCGAGCTCCGTGCAGAATTTATCCAAGCATTCTTTGTGCAGGTCGGGTGAGCGGTGTTCGTCTGTCGGAATATAATCGATAGCATTATCATCAGGAGCAACGAGGTTGAAAGGAGCGTAATCGTTTCGTAAAGAGTCTTCTTGAGACATGTTGGAAATGTGATGGGGGGAGGTACTTACTGTTCTTCATAATGGCTGTAGTAAATGGACGGGGACGGTAACACCCCTGAACGTTTGCCGGGCTGACTCTAGGGGTGAAACAGTCTCATTTTAATTTTGTTGTATCCATCACGCATGTCACACCACTTGAACATTTTGTTTACGATCGAAAAAAGAGCGCTCAGCAGATGCAGATCGCACCACTTGAACAAAAATTGGAGGGTGAACATTTCATGATATTCCTTATGCTGGTCACCCCCCCGTACGATCACTAAGCTTTGTCTTGTCTTCGCAGGCAAATATGTACGCGCAGTCGTCCGGGTTCTTTTGGGCGTGATCACCGACCACTCGGTACCGGATATTCGGGACCACACCGTCCCATTCCCCAACGTACAAAGGCTCTTCTCCACAATCGTTCAGATCTTTCCAGATACGATTGAAAAATAATTGCCAGTCTTTATCAGGAAATACCAGGCAGGGATCTTGACCCCGTACAAATTCGTTGGTCTCGTCAAACGTATAGAGCGTAACCGTTCGAGACGGTTTGTGAAGTATATAGCCAAATATGCGTCCGCTGATCAGAAAAAATGTGTCTCTCACACAATCAGTATTTTCGTGGAGAAACTTTGTCAAATACAAATTCGCGTTGTACGGCTTTCTCGGAGCCAATGTCAGATTTTCCATCATCTCTTCATCCCATTCCTTCTCGGGAGTTTTAGGTGAGTATAAACCAGCCATGTCTATGTATTTCACAGCTATTTTCTGATTTTCCACAGAAGTGCCTGGGTTTATTTATCTAAGCCTGCCTTGGAATGCAACCGGACACGCGGACCCCAGATGGGTAAACCCCCCCCGGATGTGGGAACGGACCAATAAAATCTTCAAAAACATTCCTTAGGTCTTCATTTATCGCCTGCCATCCTCTGAAACGGTCAAACAGCTGAACAAACATCATATGTCATCCCCGGAGGTCATACATTGACGTCGGAATTTCACATATGCCGGCTTTCACATCTGGACAGGTCACGGGATCAACACAACTGGGTGGTCGCCATGTGGTGGGCCACGTGGGGGGAGGGGAAAGGTCACAAAGGTCAAAGCCATCAATCAAGTTGACATATGCCGTATCATACTGACTACTTTAGTGTTGCCAAAATATTGGACACTTCTCAATATAGTTTACAACATTGTGATATTTTTTCTGCTAAAAATTAAAAATAATTATAGAATCATTTTTTGAAACGATTCACTAAAGACAGTCTGGTTGTATTTTCTGACCATATGTTCGCCACAGAGGCCCAATTGAGCATTGTGAAGCAACATTTTGATACAAAACACACTGTGTCTGTGAGTTAATTTGCAAGTTCAAATAGAAATTACATTGAAATAAACTAGAATTTTATCTGAATGCAGTGTTTGTTTTGTCCAGAAACAGTAAAAAAGATGTCTAAATGAGACTGCAGTTGTTTGCACCTTAAAAGACGTTGAAAACACGTTCACAATGACCACATCTGAACTAAATTTGAACCTTCTAGAGATGTCCTGTATATTAGATGTTCAGAAGTCTTCATAAAAAGACATCATGAAGACTTTCATTTTGGCGTTCCTCAGGGGACGTCATTTCAATGTGCGACAAAGACGCGGAAAAGATGTATTTTGGACGTAGTTTTGGGTGGAGGGGCCGTACAAGACATTGTGCCTCTGAATTCATAATCTGTGCCTGCATGTAAGGGTTTGTTTTATTATTATTAATATTTGTGTATTTTTATTGTTCTTTTGTGTTTTATCCAAGAGTTTATAGCAGTTTATTTTAACGTTTCAGTGCAAGTTCATTTTAAATACAATTTGTTGAATGTTACCTGAAGAAATCCTGATGTTGCTGTCTGACTTGTTTAAACACACTCATGTGATCATAAACTCCACCCTCTTACAGCTCTTACCAGGAAGAGACTGACGTGTTATTTCTGCTTTCTGTCACACTGACTCTCTTCTCTACTGTAATGAAATTAACTCATTTGTAAGGGAATTAATGATTATTAATTCATTCAGGTTTTAAAAGGACTCGAATCTGAAAATTCTGAGTCAACCTGATTAAAGCTGAATTCAAATCTGATAGTTTACACTTTAAATCAAGGGTCGTCCAGCGAGCCGGTGATTCTTAGTATATTTTAAACCGTGACTTGACTAGACTCATGAAGGTCAACTGTGACTTGACTTGATTCAGGATTGGCAGCTGTGGCATAATGGGGCACTGTTGTGTCCACCATTTTGCGAACGGATGCGGTGTCGCGTTTTTCCGTGACACCCACGGTGAATGATGAACCAACAGTCAACAAAGCATAATCCATAAACTGAATGAGTGACGAACGCGGACCCTCTCGAATGAGCTTTGACTTTAGCGGCTGATTAATGCCCTCGCAGAAAAAGTCTATCAGGACACAGTCTGGCAGATCAGAGAAATAAGATAGATCTAAATACTCTTGTACATAGTCCTCGAGCGTTCGCGTGCCCTGCTCGAGGGCTAATAATAGTCTTGCCA